CAGCCCTGGCTCGGGGGGGGAGGGAGGGGCTGCGGGCATTCGAGTGAAGTGTGGGCAGGGGCAGCGTTCAAACCCGGGGGCCGGCATACAAACTCACCCGTTCTCCCGCCCCTGCAGTTAGGCGGTGCAGGTCTGCTAGCTTTGCGCTCCCTAGGCTCGAGGATTTAGCTCCAGGGCGCTGTTTGCCAAGAACGGGAGAAGAAGCTGACAGCGGGATCACTGAGGCGAAAAACACCGCCCTCCCTGTTGTCAAACCTAACCTAGGCCATTCTGTCTGGCCCCTAGCACTGCAAATCCCCCCAGCCCCTGTGGGAAGCTGCGGCAAGCTTTAACAGAAAGCACGGTTTAGAGCACAAATCCACTACGACCTCCAGCACGCTCTTTTAGAAGACACCTTTGCCAAACCCCCAGTCAACACGTTGGACTACAGGACCATCTTTTCTCCCTTCACCTCCGTTAAGGGGAACAGGACCATGCCCTCACAACCCACCAGCAGTGCAGTCTCAGGCAGGTACTGTCCTGACTGTGGAAGAGGCCACCATCACATTCACAAAACCTGCAAACAAAATCGGGGAGGGAACACCACCCTTTGTGCTGAGGGAAGCCCCAGGACAGGGGTCCAGTGGAGTACAACGGCCTTCATCTCCTAGAGGAGGCTGCAGCTCTGAGCAAGCAACACCACCCAAATTTCAAGCAGTGCCTGCTGCTGCCAAATACTGCTCGCCCATATGATTGCCCACCCAGGGTTTGGGAAGTCTCAGCACCCAGCCCTTGGCCGAAGCTCTCTGCCCATCTCCAACACTTCCAAGTTCCTTTGGTGCCCACTCACGGTCAGACAGCTAATGAAGGAGCAGGTTTTTGGCTTCATTCTGTAACACACACTGAATCTCCCTCAGTGCAGATGGATCCAGGCCAGAGTGTATGCTCTGGGATCAGTACTTGAGTATCCCACAACCCCCCAATAGTTTCTGCTGTGCGTTTCTCAGACCACTCGAATTTCATGTAGTCTTTCAGCCCCACTCCCCACCCCCAGAAATCACATTTAAGCAGTCTCTGCCAGCATCGAAAGATTCCCTGGCTTTGAAGTCTCTTTGCGAGTCCGATCCAATGCAGTTCCTCAGAACTTGGAAATTGAGTGCAGCTGCCGACAGCCCCGGGTGCACGGGGTAACTGGAAGGGCAGGGCACTGCCAGAACAGTGGCACCACCACAGCTTAAGGTACTCTCACAGATGGCACCTTAGGTAAAGGGAAAAACAAATTAAACTATTACTGATAGCACAGTAATGACAGAGGGCATTTTTAAATGTCAGGGGGACAGGAAGGAGGTACATACTTGAACAGACTAGAATAACCAAGAACCTGTATGCCTTTTTTCCAGAGTTTAATCCCAGGTCCCTTTTATCTTCCAAAGTAGAAAGCCATTTTTTCCTTCAGATGTACTAGCAGATCATTAAACTGTCTTTTACCTCTTACTACAGAGGAGGAAGAGTAGAAAGTTGTTGTTTGTGGTTTTTTTTTTTGTTTGGTTGGTTTTTATTTTTTCTTTAGAAGAACATTTCTGAAGTTATGGCATATGTCCAACAACTTTGGACATTTTCCAATGTAAATAACATTGTAGTCCTACTGGGTGTCTGTCCTGCTCTTATCACCTGAGTTCATCAGACATCAAATTTGCCTCAAAGGCTAGAAGCCTCTGGTACAATTCCCTTTTCCCAGCTTATGCGTAAGTAACAATCAGACAAGTAGAAGACACCCAAGTACTTGAACTGCAAAGGCTGCAATACAAGCTTTTACATTAAAGGAAATCCACATTCTCCACTCACAGGAGGACTTTTGCTGAAGAACACAGATCAACCACTAAACAACCTGTAGGAAGCCAGTGTTCACTAAGCTGCATATACACGGGACTATCTGCAGTACACTGAAGCACTTAAAAAAACCAAACGACAAACAGATCAACCAAGGCTACTGGTAAACATTTCGTAAAAGATTTATTTAAGTATCATTTATCACAAAGAGGAAAATACATATAAGATTAGAAGCATGCAACCATCTTCCACATTTCTATTTATTTTTCTTGCGTTCACAGCACATTGTAATAGAACTCCTGTGCCACCCTCACTTCTTCCTGAAAAATACTGTGTTCCAAGACATAGGATAACCAAAATAAACCCACAATAAAGGTAAGATAACATATGAGAAAAGTGCAAAGTAAAAAAAGTCACATATATACCACATTCAAACCCCCTCCCCGTCCAAAAAAAGGATAAAGG